CTCGAGTGCACAAATTTTTGTGCACCGGGCCTCTAGTATATATATATACACACACACATAATTGATTTCACAGAGGAAGGAAAAGCAAGAGAGAGATAGAAACATCAATGATGAGAGAGAATCATTGATTGGCTGCCTCCTGCACGCCCCACCCTGGGCATTCAGCCCACAACCAGGGCATATGGCCTGACTGGGAATCTAGCATGACCTTCTGGTTCATAGGTTGATGCTCAACCACTGAGCCACGCCAGCCGGCCTAGAGGGCTATTTTCTAATCAAGATGTTTTGCCATTTCCTTGTAAGTTTGCGTGCTCATAATAGGCATGGTGTGTTATAACATAGATGCATTGGTATGTACAACTGGTCCTCCTTCAGTAACTAGACTTACACATACAAGTATGCAAGAACACACACAATGCATGCCTCCCAAACTGCTAATTTTAAAATATTAAATAAGCTCAAGGGTTTTTTAAATTAACATATAAAAATCTCCTATGCCAAAATCATAATAATGGGAGTTATCAGCAGTGTTCACATATTTGCAAGCTGGTTTTCCCATCATCCTCAACTCTGCAGTGAGCAAACCAGCTGAGCAGACTGCCCAGCATATCAGAGGCACATCTAGAATTAGATGCTGCACCCTGAGGACTTCCCAACAACATCCTTAGCATCTGCCTTCTGCCTACCCTAGAAGATACCTAAAGTTCCCACATGCACCTCTGTATAAGGGTTAAATAAGAGATGAGACTTAGGAGTTAAATAATCCAATTTCTTTGCCCCTTGGTTGAGCAATTCAGAGGGTCCCTAGCAGGAGCACACCCAATTGCCCAGTCTCATAATGCATTCATGAACACACCATTTATTGGCTCTCCTGTCTTCCTCTCCCATATGTCCTTCCTGGCATCAACTCCCAAATCATTATTTGGACCCAAATTCTTATCTCAGAGTCTATTTTGTGAAATGTAAACTGAGATAGGCACTTAACACCTGAGCCTGTCCCTGGCCCAAACGCTCAGCATCACATGTTCACTGCTGATTCTCCTCGGGCTAGGACACAGCAAAATCCTGACGGTCTCCTCTTTCCTGAGAGGAGGGTTTCTTGACTCCCTCACAATCACTTCATCTTTTATGTGAAGAAGATGAGGTTCCTCCTGTGGTGCCTCTTCTGGAAGTTCTGGGAATGTAATGTACAACATTCACATATTTGCAAGCTGGTTTTCCCATCATCCTCAACTCTGCAGTGAGCAATACAGCTGAGCAGACTGCCCAGCATATCAGAGGCACATCTAGAATTAGATTCTGCACCCTGAGGACTTCCCAACAACATCCTTAGCAGCTGCCTTCTGCCTACCCTAGAAGATACCTAAAGTCCCCACATGCACCTCTGCATAGAGTTAAATAAGAGATGAGACTTAGGAGTTAAATAACCCAATTTCTTTGCCCCTTGGTTGAGCAATTCAGAGGGTCCCTAGCAGGAGCACACCCAATTGCCCAGTCTCATAATGCATTCATGAACACACCATTTATTGGCTCTCCTGTCTTCCTCTCCTATATGTCCTTCCTGGCATCAACTCCCAAATCATTATTTGGACCCAAATTCTTATCTCAGAGTCTATTTTGTGAAATGTAAACTGAGATAGGCACTTAACACCTGAGCCTGTCCCTGGCCCAAACGCTCAGCATCACATGTTCACTGCTGATTCTCCTCGGGCTAGGACACAGCAAAATCCTGACGGTCTCCTCTTTCCTGAGAGGAGGGTTTCTTGACTCCCTCACAATCACTTCATCTTTTATGTGAAGAAGATGAGGTTCCTCCTGTGGTGCCTCTTCTGGAAGTTCTGGGAATGTAATGTACAACACGGCGACTATAGTTAACAATAGTGTATTGTGTATTTGAAAATTGCTAAAGGAGTAGATTGTAAAAATTCTCATCACACACACACACACACACACACAGTTACTATTTGAGCTGATGGTTGTTAATTAATTGTATTGTGGTAACCACTTTGGAGTTTATACATATATCAAGTTATTATGTTGTATACTTTAAATTAATATAAGGTCA